AGATATGCAGAGGTCAGCAGAAAAGAGCAGCTTTCAAAAAAAGTTTGTTGCAGACTGAGAGTGGCTGTAGCTGATCATCAGGAGAAGACCCCAATCCCTTCTGAATTCCTGGAACAGAAAACCAGAAAGTCTAAGGAACTTGTTTGGTACTCCAGCTAGAGGTGTTTATAACCAATAATTTGAAAACACAGCATAACCAAAGAACACTCTCTTCTCTTCTCCTTTCCTGTCCCCAAAAAGGGTGAGTATGTTTCTCTTTCCTTTTTGTAAGCTACTCCTTGAAATTCTAATTCTGCGAAGTGACAGGTTGAAGAAAGCAGTAGTGAATGGATGCTTGCAGAGCCTTGTATCAAGTCTGCTTTTCAAACTGTTGTTCCGTAAAGGTTTTTGATAATAAGCAAACAGATCCATAATGTAGTGCTGATCCTCGCACATTTGGCATAGCTAGAGAGGATCAGAGGTAGCCTGTATGAGGCTGCTAAGAATGCCTACTGCCTACTGTGTTATAAGGATAATGGAATCAAGATCTGTGATTGGGATTTTTTCAGATTGCATGGTCCTTTGACACTAATCTTCTGAGATCCCCAAATTTATGAAATCAGTCAGCTTGAAACAACACAAATTCCTGGTTACAATTTTTGTTTTTCTCCTATGTATCTTTGTAACAACTTCTGGGATGGCAGAGAGGGTGAGGCTAACCAGTTCTTTCTCAAGCAAGTTGATGAAGGGTTTGTTGGTTTTACCGAACGAAACACTGCTTATCCTTTTCTGTTCTCACGGTCAGCAACAGGCAAATGAAACACCTGCTTATAATGGAGACTAAACAGAAGATGTAGCAAGAGCTGAGAATTTCAGTACAGGAAATGTAAATTGCTAAGTCCAGTTGGAAAAGTAGAGGCTGTACTCCGGGACCTCCTGTGGAAGCCAGTCCAAACTAGGTATCTATGACCAATCTTTGAACTGAAGCTTTCAAGTGATGCAGGTGGGAGGTTGCAAGGCAGCAAGGAGGCAAAGTGTGCTGGATAGCCGCTTTGGCTGGCCACAAGCCAGGCACTGAGCATTACATGGCCCTAAGCTGGAGCTGTGCCAGGCATGGTGTTCTGAATGGAGTGAAAAGCAGAGCTGCGATTCCCAAGTTACATGCTCAAAGGCTCTTGCTTCAGCTGCCAGGTGGTTAGCTGGGCCAGAGCATGCAGATGAACCACGGCAATGGCTTGAGGCTGCTCAACACAGACTAACGTCCAGCTAGAGACTGACAGAGGCAGTTAATGTCTAATAAAAATGTTCAGAGTGAACTCTTCTAAGTCCAAAGTAAGAGAAAGATAGCCCATGACTCTTTGCAGGCATGCAAGACTAGAAGGTGGACAAATCATCATAAAGGCAACCATCAAAGAGCTCTGTCTTAATAAGATTGTGGAGCCACAGATGACTAAGGAAAATATTAGGGGCCAGAAACTGAGAGGTACATACTATACCCAAAATAGTTTGTAGTAAGTTTTATGGGTACCATATGGCAAAGACTAAAAGGACAGAGTGCTGCTAACAAGAAAGCTGGGAGGAGAAGCTATCCTATTATTTTAACCAAATGTAGGCAGACAATGTGAGCCACAATTCCCCAGTGTTCAAGTGTTTGTCTTTTGAATCTAAACTATTTTGTTGCAGGTATGCTCACTGAGAGTGGGGGGGGTAGGATAAAAAAAAATACAGGATTTTTGGGGACCCAATATTAAAAGGAGCAGTAAGAAATAGAATTGCATAAAGGAAAAGCTGGAACAAACTGATTAGCTCCTGATACCCTTAAGAAGGAGCACTGGTATTTTAACACAGGTAGATGAAAACATGGGAGACATTACAGCTTCCCCTCTGTACCAAGAAGAAATTCTTAAATGTGTCTGTAACCACTGGAAAGGTGCATTGATCCTCACAGATGCACGATGAAACCTCTACTAGTTTAAGAGGGAAAGCAGTCAGAGACTGTCATTGGGCAACTGGGAAAGTTGGGCTCTTTGTGGCTTTATTTCTCAACTCCTACAGCTAGATTTATTCACTCAGAGGGTTTTACACAGGACTATCAAGAAAGTCTGACTAGTCTGTAACGAGGGGGAAGATGATGTGCTGGTGGATAGCCTCCTGAGGTCCCTTCCCACCTGCATGGCTTTAGATCTTATTATATTGAAATATAAAGAGGACCAGCATTACTAGTAAATTATTGTGTTTCACTTCTTCAACATGAGATCCATCTTCTGACGGAAAAACTGGAAAAGTCATTTGCAGACAAACTGCAGAATTAACTGTCTTAATGCTTCTGGCTCCAAGCTGTAGATGTGTAGCTGACAATTCCTGGAATGTAATGCTGTATTACAAGGGAACACATATGGGTGCTGAATCTACATATCAGCAATGTATACAGCACCTGCTCTAGCAGCAACAGCAGCAGAGCAGAGCAGACTTCTTCAGCTCTGCTGACATGAGAAAAAAATTGTCTCTGCTGCTGCCCATTTTGTCATTCAGTTAGCCCTATGGCTCCAGGGAAAAAAGCCCTAAGGGCAGAAGGTCACCTCTTGGCGAACACAGTCAGCAACAGGTGCAGACAAGCAGGAAATGGCATGGCATGGCACTGGAAGAACTGTGCGGGAGTACAGCCCTGTCTTCGTAGCATAGCCGAGAGGCACTGAGCCACAGGTCACACACACCCACGGAAAACAGTCAAGTCAGCTGCCTTTCTTCACTATGTCCTTAGAGAACCATAACTTATCCGCTGTGCAAGACTCTTCCAGAAACATGATGATTTTCCCAATTTCGTTACCTCCAAATCACTGTAATCTTTTAACTTCCAAAGCCATTACAAGCCTAATGAAGATGAGAATGGGAGGTGGTCACCTAGTTGCTTACCACAGTTAATTCTGATTAGCAGTGAGGAAGTTTTTAAGTTACTCTTGAACTCTTAAATAGATCACACATACTGATAATCCAGCACGAGCTGCAATACATTCAATGAAATTTTATATATGTTTTTCTTCTGCATTAACTGCATACAGTAGCACATTTTTGTTTTAAGCCAATGTCACTTCCACAAGTAGCAAGTTTAAACATTTCATTTAATATCTCCAAAATTACACTGCTTACATAGTTTTTCACCACCTTTCTTTCCAACAACAAATGGTAACTCTCTATCCCGTATGCCAAGTCTTTTATTTGGAAATGGAATGCATAAAACAATGACTTGAACAGGAAAGTCTGACTCATTTTAAAGACTAAAAATGTTCTAATTTTATATTCTTTATGACTACTGCATAGGACATTATGAGGTCATTGTCATCAGAAATGCAAGACAGAAGACCAATAAACTCACAGTATGTAAAGGTGCAAGAATGATTTTTCAACAGTAACATACAAAAATGCATGATGAAACATTAGAAATACCTGAATATGGTATTCTGGACTTTGAGAAGCTACTCTAGAAGAACCAATGACTCCATTGTTTTGAAATGGGGGAAGGTGCTATATGTGTTATTTATATCAGGAAAATCTTTCGCACACTTGCATTTAACTATTAGTATGAAATACCAGTCCCAAATTAGTTTGCTTAACAGCAAAGAGCTCCTTCCAAACAAATCCAGAACAGGTACAAGATATAGCAAATGCAACCCGTTTTGCATAGACTTATTTATGTTTAATGCTCAAAATCAACAGTTAATTGATTTGAGCATTCCTTAGTTACAGTCCTCCTTACAAAGGAGTAACTTTGTAAGTAACAGTAAACAGTGTAAAGAGACCTTAACATGAACATGGGTTAAATATTCACTTCAAGACTCCTTTCCATTGCCAGTAGCATGTAAGGAGGACTTCAGCGTAAGAAAGACTATAGTCTGTGACAAGAGAAGTTAGATGCATTTCTGTGTCTTTTTAGGACCCAAGTATTCATACATTCAGACTTCTCCAGTATCAGAACTGGATAAAATCCACTTCATAAAGTACTTACAGACTATAGGAGTAGATCTGTGTTCTTCAAGGTTATTCAATTCATATTTTCAATCAATGACAAATTGAAGTTACATAGCCTTGCACAAACAGCATGCAATTTAATAAAGAAACTTAAGAATCATTAGGTTTAATTTGCAAACTTACTGACCAAAGGAAAACTAGAATTGGAAACTAGAATTCAGCCTTTGGGATTTTTTTTTAATTGCATTTTATTTGCTGCTGAAAGGAATGCACTCTATTTCACTTACCAAGAAACTTGCTTTTAAAAATCTAGAACCATGGTCTCTAGATACAGCTGTAAAGTTTGAATTTTGGTATAATAATTCAACCTGATTATTTTTACTAATTTCAAAGAAACAGATCAAAATACCTCCCTTAATGAATTGTTCCCATGGAATATGGATTTTAACTTGTGTGAAAGGAAAACACCTGTTTTCAACAGGCTGTTTTTTCTTTTTCTCTGTATCCAGGTAGTTTGGTGAACCTGTATTGTATTTGAGCAAAATCATTCCACTTGAATGATGAGTGTTTCACCTTATAAACAGAACAGGGCAGGGAGGGAGAAGGGAAAGACCACGGAATTATTCACTTTGAAACATGAGATAATTGGTCTGGTAGGTCACTGGGGTACCACACGATGAAGAATTTAAGATGTGTTAAGAGACTTTCCTAGCACATAAAAAATATTTGCATTGTATGAGTATCTGCTACACCAAGAAATCAGGTGGTTTGTCAACAATGCAGCAGGATTTCTATAAACTCAGATACATATTGAAAGAAATAATGTTACAGTTTTTCATGTCTTCATTCAGTTTAAGACAATTAAAACCTTCTGCCATGTTATGGGCTAAGAACGTGGCAGAATTTGAATTTTAACAAACTCACCTCACTCATCCTGTATTTCCACAGAAGCTTTTTTTAAGCTATGAACTTAAATGCCCACATACAACTTACAACTTTAATAATGATTTCTAGAATTTCCGTTATCCAACAAGAATGACTTGTAATTAGCATAATCCAATATTATACAATTCATTTTTGACAGCCTCCAGTTTGGTTATAATGCTCGATTCTGCTGTAACACACTGGCTTGCTTTTTCACGTGTCATAGCCTAGTGACACCGGAACCACACTTCCAGTTATTGAGTTGACTTAAAAACGTAGATTTGGAGATAATTACAATGGTCAGGAGACTTAAGTTTTCACCAAAGAGAAGTTTAAATGCAGGAAGTTTATTTAATGACATCTGGCAGACTGTGGACCTTGTGAGGACAAAAGAGGATCCTGAAATAGGAGGATATCAAAACTAGATTTTGGCAATATAGAAGATGTATTGTCCGTGTAGTTCTTTCATAAGCTTTAAAAATACTCTTATTAAATAAGTTTTTCCTTCCTTAAGACCAGATAATACATGAAGCCAGTCAGAGTCCAGGGGTCAGAATTTTCTTCAATTCTTAGTTATTCTCTATGAGCTTTTTTTTTTTGGCTTTTCTTCGTAAGATTCCCCGTACTCATTCACTCTGCTCTTATCCACAGGATAAAGCCTGGCAGAAGAAACAAATTATTAGTTACAATATTGTCTGCTACCTGGAGGAATTAAGCAGTTCTGTTCTACCTAATTTTAAAAGTTAATTTCTTTTTCATCATATTCTCTATTCTCATTTGTGGCAAAAACCAAAGCAATTTTAAAGATTAGCTACAGATACATCAGCTTCTTCACATTAAGACTTAGTCAGCTGTCTCATAACAGGGCCTCTTAAGGAGATGTATTACCTCCCCTAAAGTTTGGCTGGAGCATTGCTCAAGCAATCCAGGATACCTCTCAGACTTGAAACCAGTGTCCAGCCCCTATCAGAAATTGCTGAGCTCTTAACTTCTAGAAAAATACATTGGAAGGGGACATATTTTACAACACTTATGTGCCATTATATAAACCTAAAACCGAAGTTCGCATTTAGTATTAATGATTAGAGGTACACATCCACATATTCTTGATAATGTGAACTAGGCTTGAAATTCTTGTTTGCTCCACAGGTAAATATTTATTTTCAGGAACACGAATATACTTCCTATAGCTAAAGTTATGAAATATTTCAGTAATTACTGCATATAGCCTTCTTTCCCATCTGATTTTAGTTACTTAAAGAATCTGAAACTTGCCAGATACTCAGCTTACATGAGAACAAGATAAACTTGTGTTTGGAAACTAGGTAAGGAGGAAAGCAGAGCAGGGCAATCCCTCATCAGAAAACACCCTTTGCTAGTGCCTTGCAGAGCGACTTGGGAAGCATGCCTCAGAGGTAGACATGTAACCCCTCAGCAGGGGTTAGAAGCCCAGAACTCCTACGTGGGTTTGTGAATACAAGCTTAAGAATTGCTCTCCTTCACCTTACTTCAGGTATTCATATTTCAGTTTTTTTGGGGTTTTTTGGGGTTTTTTTGTTTTGGGTTTTTTTTTTTTTTGGTTTGGTTTGTTTTTTGGTAACTTGCAAATGTGAAACTATCTGCTCTAAAGGAGGACTGCTGTTTTGGGGAGGGAGAAGGGGTAATTGACAAAAATTCTGTGAGTGTGGTGAGAAGAGGCATTTCTTTGACTATTCTCTTAGCATGTTAAAAAGTATCCAGGAATACTGTCAGTTATGAGAAAGTGCTTTTGCTCCTCTTATTTGTATTGGTTTTCCTTTTCCCTTCACTAGACATACACAACTACCATTTTCCAGACCATACTATGTATTACTACTAAATAAAAATTTTGCTTGAAGTCTGTCCCAAACTATTTTGCAGTTCTTTATAGCAATAAGACCACAACTATCTACAGCACTGTAAAAACTCTGATGAATATTAAAAAAAGTCATACCATCTTTGGTAAAGATAGACCAGGAACACGACATCATCTCTAAAGCACGCCAGCCTATGAGATGTTGGCATAGTGATTATAAAAGCAAATACATCATCAATAAAGGTGTTGAATGCCTACAAATAAAATAAAAGTATACTTCAGTTGGCTGTGAAGAAAGGAAGTAATCTGTCATACAGAGCTACAGGAAATAGGCTTCCTAGAACTATATTTTTCAGTAGGAGCACAGACTACTTCCACATTTATAACCACTCTTAAAGGTTATGCCAAAAGACTAACTAATGCAAACTTTAAAGTGCTTTATTTTAATGAAGACCATACTGTCTACTACAGACCACACTATTACAGTTACAAGTAAAAAGGAAGTAGGGAAGTAGGACTACTTTAGGTGAGAGTATTATCATGCGAGGGGAAAAACACACATTCAGCTTCAGTGAAATCTTTAAATGAAACAAAAAAACCCCCTTTTATTAATTCGTTACTCAAATTATATAGGATTTTTAAAACGTCAGTTTACTTTCATTTTCTGTGTGAATTTGAAATTTGTGTAAAAACATGTTAATTTACTGCTCTTAAGAACATTATCTTGACAGCCTTGGAGAGATTTTAAAATATTTTCAGTGCTCTCCTGGAAGTAATCATCTGTCCCTTACCAGAGACACAATTTTCTACACCATTTCCACTCAACTAGGCATACTGTAGGTTCTACTTCTGAAGCAATAATGAAATATTTTCTCACTACTTTTTTCTCAGTGAGAAAGCTTAAATTCCCAGACATGTGCTGGGAAAGCAATGCAAACAGGTTCCAAGCATGCAAAGGCAACAATATTTTGTCAGAGAAGGTAAAGCAAGTTAACAGAACGGCAACTCCTCTGGATCTGGCTCTAGCATACAGGGAAGACTAATCTCCCCTATGAGGACAGGCTGAGAGAGTTGGGGTTGTTCAACCTGGAGAAGAGAAGGCTCCAGGGGGACCTTATAGTGGCCTTCCAGTACCTGAAGGGGGCCTACAGGAGAGACTTTTTACAAGGGCATGTAGTGACAGGATGAGGGGTAATGGATTTAAGCTGAAAGAGGGTAGATTTAGACTAGATATTAGGAGGAAATCCTTTCCTGTGAGGGTGGTGAGACACTGGAACAGGTTGCCCAGGGAAGCTGTGGATGCCCCATCCCTGGAGGTGTTCAAGGCCAGGCTGGATGAGGCTTTGAGCAACCTGGGCTAGTGGGAGGTGTCCCTGCCCATAGCAGGGGTTTGGAACTCGATCTTTAAGGTCCCTTCCAACCCAAAGCATTCTATGATTCTAAATTAACCCTTAGAGCCCACCAGCTCCAGTACTCATATGGTGCAATAAACTGTTTCAAATCACTAAAACCATCAGGAAACAAATCCAGCAAAGAATATTCACTGTTGGCTTATCAAACTGAGTCAGTAATATGGCTTCCCCTTTCAATATTAGCAAGCTGTACATTAATCCATACCACAAGAAGGGGGAAAAGTATGTATTCTCTAAGCACAGAACGACTCACTCTTCAGAATGAACCAGTGTTTATATGATGAAACAAAGCATCAGCAGAGGATGTGTTGGGCAGGAGAGAGTTCTGATTAGTTACAGCAGGAAAGCATTTTCTGGCAAGTCAGAATAAATCCATCAATCCAAAGTGATCAAAGAATACTGATGGCACTTCTCAAGTCTGTGCAACGGTTTGTTATGGAACAAAAAAAAAAAAAACACGTTGGCAGACTGGAAAAGGCGGCCTTTCCAAGTCAACACCCAAGTGAGTGATCCTACAATGGTGAAAGGAAGAAAAAGCAAAATGCTCCATCCTCCAGGCATTTAGGCAGTCCTCATAAGCTATTGAAACTGAATGCATTGAGGCAGCCCACCTAACAGTATTTAGTCTAGTTAGTTTTCTTTTGAGATTACCTCATTCGAAGGGCATAAATGTAAAGACTACGGAAACTGTAAAGTTAGGCTGATCTTCATTTTTGCCAAGGTGTTCCTAAACAGGAAAGAGTTCAAACTAAAGAAAAAAACAAAGCTCTCTAAAACAACAATCACAGATGAGACTTCAGACTATTCTTTCCACCCTTCAAAGTGCAGAGGAGAGCAAAGAACTTAAGTATCCGCTAGGAAAAAATAAATCACACCCTCCAAGGACCAATAAGTTAAACATAATTGACAACATCATATACATCTTTCAACATACACACAAGCCTTTGCTGGTGGTGGCCTCTGGCATCTTAACAGGAACCATAAATGCTCTGTAAGAAAAGGCTATTCAGCAAGAGAATTCCACTGCTTTAAAGGTTACTTGTTTGAATACTGTCCCTTTGTTGTCTGATGATGTCTCTGCTCCGTTATTGTATTTTGTCACTGAAGTAAAACTGTGAAATTACTTCACTAATATAACTTTTACTCCCCTCTATTAAGAAACATGCTGATTTTCCCAGTATAGATTGAAATACTAGATTTTTTTTTACTGTATTTCTACATTGAACACTGTTTAGTTGCTATTCTGCTATCAGCTCTATTTCAATCTGTTTTTCCTAGATGTCCTGTGAAAATATTACGGCAGCACAAATTGGGCTATTGCTGTGGGCTCACGGAAATGGAAAAGCTATGAAAGGCACCAAATTTTTATGATTTTAGTTCTTTTGTCCCAGATTATCTGTTCAGAACTGGACACAATGTCTTGTGCAGTTTTTAAGACTGTTTCTTTTAGAGTACTGATGTTCTGAAGAATTGCAACACATTGGCATAAAGGAAGAATAAACAAAAGCATTTATGAGTGGAAGCAGAAGAAAAAAGGGCACATGTTGATAGCACCAAGGTCTAGGACCAGCACATCCAGGTAGGGTTTCTCAGGACACAATGATCAGATAAACAAAGGACAATACAAAAATCCTAATGACTCAGAGAAGTGGGAAAGGATGGAATCAAAATACTCTCAGCTCTTTAGGGGTACAAGAACAAAACTACCACGCAGTTGCCAATTGAGAAAGAATGTAGGAGACATGGGAACTCAACAGTGGGTGTCCCTTGTCCTCCGTATCAGTGCAAGGAATCCTGACTGGACTACTTTGGTACATCCATCTTGGTGCCTGCATACTACACAAACCTCTTGGACACACATGTGGGTGCTTGTGGGTATGCAGGTATCAAAGGGTTAGTAAGCTGATTTTGTTTTGAAATACACTCACCTTCCCCTCCTTCAAGGTCTGGTGTTAAGCTTTGCTACAGCATCATATTATTTCCTACATGAGCAGTATAGGCAGTGGGGACACCACTGTGCAGCCCCTCTTCCACCTTGTAACAACCCACCACACATTTGTCACTACACTGTCCAGAAGCTCAAGAGTTACCAACCCAGCAGAGAACAGTGTGAACATTACTTCAGTCTCTGGCACATCCAGAGGTCTCTTAGTGGTCCTATCTGTTTCTTGAGTACTATTTTTGTTAATATAATGTCTCTTTTCCTAAAATAATGCATTAAATTTATTTACAGGACCAACATTTGCACCCATGCAAAAACAGCTGACAGTACAAAAAGTATTATCATCAAAACTAAGATGCAAGTATTCTCATTATATGGAAGTCATTATAATAAATGGAAATCAATGTTTCTCTTTTTTTCTTTTAAAGGAGCATTGCAAACAAGTTTAGTTCTTAAACAAACAAAAAAACCACTGTCAGCCTTAAGTTACATATTACTAAACTTACAGAAAATTATCCCGAAAATGATCACACTTATCTTTAAATTAAAGCTTTACTTACTTTGTATGTAAAAGCCTTCCATGGCAAGTGTGCAACAGATTTCATCTAGGATTAAAAATATAAATTTGTAATAAAGTCTGGAAGAAGAGACTAGAAAAATATGCTTTTACAACTTTTTAATCTTACCTTGTAGTTTACAAACAGCTGGGGTAGCATAAACAGGAATCCAAATGCATATACTCCTGAAGATAAAATATGTAAAAGTTACAGACCAATGCACAAGAGAAGTACATCACACACCTATAGTTTCACAATTGGAGATTTACACTCATCTTCCTAAAGAGAGAAGATGCATCTAATCCTTTTGTTTCACTTTGGGTTGATTCTTCTCCCTTTCTCAATCACTGATAATTTTGGAACCTATAGTCAAATTATTGCTCTACATTACACTAATAGAGCTGATAGCAGTTAATTTTCTACTTCTGAGTCTTGCTCTCCATTTGAAGAAATATAAATAGGAGAAAAAAACCATAAAGGACTCACCATTGACAAAACTGTTAATCAACCAGGAGTACCAGCTACAAACAAAGAAGACAGTCCAGTTATTTTTTCACCTCAGCCAAAAATATATACCTGTAATACATCCTCTACATGACTGCACACTGACCACTCCAAGAAATGGCTATATTGTGAATTAACTTTACACCAGAACTAAATACTTCACATCTTCCTTTGATTAAGAAGGGCTCCAGAGAAGGTAGTTTAAGCAAAGGACGCTTATCAAGCCATACAAGAAGTTTGGAGAGCTTTATCAACTGCTTTTATACTTTTTCAGAACGTTCTAAGACTTCTGCACCCAAACTGGCATCAGATAATATTGCACACTGAACCCTGACTGTATTAAAGCTTGCAAAGGTAACACTATATTCTAAATATTAAAGAGAAGCTTCATATGATCCCATAAGGACTTATCGAATTTCAAACAACAAATACCATCCAGGGCAAACCACTACAGCAGGCACTTTACAAGAAAAAAAAGAAAAAGCAGCAAATAGAAGGAACCTAAATTTTTCCATCATTAAATCTAAACCCCCCTCCCTGATGTCCAATGCAGCACAATCTTAGCTAAATAACAGTAGTGTTACAGATAGTGGTCAAATTCCATACTTCTGCTTGTGATAGTTAGAATAGCCAGCAACTGTGAGGCTCAGATTACATAAACTTGCACGGCTCTGTTAGTGACATGTTAATAGCAAGGTTACAGCTGTAACAGCATTTCACTAATCCAAAAGCATCTAAAAAATGCGTCAGAAAATGCCCGCAAGATTAAAGGATAATCCACTGTTAAGATTACTTGTTCCGTCCCATTTCCTTACAAATAGATTTAACAATGATAAACATTCTATTATATCAATTGTTTTCACTTTCTTAAGCTACAGCTCATAGAACACCTGGCATATAGTATTTTGCACTACTTAATGAATTTAAGAATTCTGTAGGAAAAGCAGAATTTTTAAATGTTGCATATTTGTTAGCTCCTTACTAAAACAAGAACCTTTTGAAAACATATTTTTTTAATAGCCCAGAATCGCCCTGGTTTCTAGTACAAGCATTACAGCCCACACACGCAGCAATAGTATTTCTTTCTGATGTTGTTTTAGGCTACTGCTTACTCTCTCTCCCATCCCTTCTGGGCCTAAAGACGACTAAAAAAAAAAAAAAAAAGTCTTCATAGCTGTCACCATGCTTGAGTTTGCAGACTTTCTTCTACAATTAAGTCTCACAGCTACATGCTTGCTTGCATCTCTCCAATACAAAATGAACTATCTGTGTGTGAAAGTGGACAAGAGTTTCACCTTTTCATGAAATTGTGAGTCTTCAGCTGTTGCTGAAGTATCAATATGTTGCAGTAAGTCCATGGCTCTAAAGGAATGCAGAGTCCTTTCTTAAAAACACTTTTGCTTGCTTGCCATCCTAGCTATCTTATCTAGGAACAGAGGAACCTCTTGGTCAGAGCAAGTAATTTTGGGACAGTTTTTGCTTCTCTCAAAGCAGAGAATCAAAAGGTTGGATAGGTTCAACCTCTGAATTCCTCGCATCTCTCCTGTCACTTTATCAGTTCTCTGAACATCAATAGCAGCTTTCTTCTTCCTCTTCTGATTGACAGCTTACTTGTGTATGCAGGCTATTGAATCCTATACTACAGTAATATCAGGTGAAATACAACAGCCTGTAGCTTACAGAGTGTTAAAAAAACAGCTAGACTCCTCAGCTTTAGATCCTATAGAACAAGAAAGTTTCCAGTTCCTGGTTTATTAATCAAGCAAACTAAAATAACCAATTTCCATAACCCATCATCTCCAATTAATTCATATAGAAAAAATGGGGAATGTTTCAATTCTGTATAAGATAATTTATAGATTTACAGTACCTTTTATATTTGACATTCAGCAAGGAATAACCTGCACCTCCAATACACAGTGGATAGAGCAAATATGACAAGTATTTCATAGCCTAATAGACAATGAAAATAATTTGTTAGTTCACATTTTATATACAGCAGATTTTAATGGCATTAACTAGAAGACAGTCACATATTTTTATTCCTGAAAAATCTTCTATTCCCAAACGCCTACTGTTATTTCCAGTATGCTTCCAGTTCTAGAGAAGGTGGTGAAAATTTCAGTGCTCAGTTCAGACCACCAAAGACCTTAGAGCATAAGCAACAAGAGGCAGCATGAAGAGTATAAGAGTAGCTCTCTACTTAACACCAATATTGCCACCTACGTTCAACACCTTTCAGAGATCAGGAAGCACATGAACATTCCTTCAGTATAAATAACAAATACAAATTAAAATTCGTGAATGAGGACTAAGATATTTCTCTTCAGAGAATTCACTTGCAATTCTGCTTCTCAGAGAAATATTTCAACCAGATTCGGCTAACAAAGCAAGTCTTTCACTGTTTCTTTTAATAAATTATCAGAATGAATCTTCCCTATCTGATTATTCACATTATGATGATCCACTTAACAACTACAAGAAAATGGAAAATACACTTGAAGCAATAAAGAGTGAAACAAGGCAATCAGCAGGCCACATATAGAGACTTTGTAGATCGGAAGTCACAGGATTCTCTCTTACCTGGGTATCATACTCCTCAGTTTTCTTTTCAGAGTCATTGTATGTTCCAAACTGCAATACATATAAAATGCACAATCAAGTCAGAACTGGGGACAAAGCACCTTTTGCCTGACTAAACTGCAAACTAAACTGCTTAGACATTAAGCTAGGTAACAGTTCAAAGTTCTTAGAAGCTTCTCTACAAGAGAGCCATATAAATGTCCTGTGGAGACTGCTAAATACAAGGTAGGCAGAAAGTTTAATTGTCCTTTCATATTTTACACTAAACATCCGCGACTTCTTTGCTTAGGAAAATGCCGTTGAGACAGCAGAGTTCACAAAGCAAAAGGAAAGTCAAGTAACTAAGAATTTGGCAGACACAGGAAGCAATTATTAAAAACCATAACCATTTCATGCATGAAGAGGTCAGTTATGGATTATCTCCACTTTAATTCCATCTTTGTCAACAGGCTCATTCAGAGTTTCCTCAAAGGTCAAAGCTTTTTTTTTTTTTTTTTTTAGCAGCATTTTCATCAGAATTACAAGTAGCCCAACAGTACTGTTTTTGGAAACACTATTCACCAGCATTTAGGTGACAAAACAGTTTGCAAAGTGCAACTTTTGTGAAAATACCGCACCTCAAAAGAAAAATACCTTACGAGTTGGATCTTCTTTTCCCACAAGTTTTTGTCAGTATTTTTAGTGCACAGATGCTTTTAAATGTCACTATAAGTACTAACCAATTTCTGTTTCCAGCCTGAAATAATACTGTTCTTAACCTATATACGTAATTCAACCAGCTGTGTTCTGGTAGCCTTAAAAAACTTCAGAGTTTGTGGAATAGTACATAAACTTTGAAAATAGCTAACAACCATGACTACTTAAACACACTTCCTTGAATACTGACAAAGGAGGAACTGGAGCTACCAGCCACTCAAGATGCACAGACTTCAAGCAGCGCAAGACCCCAGTACTTCTTGTGAAATAAACACTGAAGATTAGACAACTTTTTCCCCACCAACAAGAGAAACTTTCAGTGTAGATTGTACTTTAAAAAACCCCTCCACTATCATGGTCCAGAATTTAATGATGCTCATTACCAACAAAGGTGAAAAAGACTACACTGAGGTCAAAAAAATGGAACTTCAACCGGTGTTAATTTGAATCCCAGATGCCACTGCAGGCCCTGCAAACAGTCTCAGGACTTAAATTTTTACCCAGAGGATTTGTCAAAGACTGTCTTATCCCCAGAACATGTCACATATTCTATTAGTTCCACAATAGAGAAATTGTATCTACAGCATCACGAAAAATTCAGTTTCTTACTTCAAATCATGATGCCAGTTAAGAGGGCCTTTCCAACACAGTGGCAGGAACACAGGCCCACCTGTTAAGA